GGTGAAGACATAATCTTACAGACAAAAGGAGAGGTTAAACCTCTTAAGTGCCGTTTAAGCCTCGGTCACAACCCGCCGTACGTGCTTTTTGTCCGTACGTTTTTTGGGGAGGCCACGTCTGGTACGTTTATCTGAAAACGTGCGTTGTACGCTCATAGGCTGTACAGGCTAGGGCACGCGCGTCGCACGTACGGGTGGTGAATCCGCAGACCGCACGCATGAAAAGTTTTACATGCACTTAAAGTTCTACGGCGTGTCTGCGTGCTCCCAAATCCGTAGGATTCCGTACGGAGGCGGTACTCACCACGCACGGATGCCCTACGTTTGCCCACGTTTTTGCACGCAGACAGCACACAGAAGCACGTATGGCGGGTTGTGACCAAAGCTTTATGCTTATCATTCTTCTTCCAGCAAGGATAACAAACGCCTAGCTTCACTTGTCGCCTTCTCCACATTATCTATGAAAGTGTCTCGCAGTTTTCATGACCACTCATTGAATCAACATCGTTCACTGTACGATACATATGTGCGTGGAAAGTTCAGATTTTTTTCATGATTACACTTCGCTATGTCCTTTTGTTAAAGAAATATGCTAACTGTGGCGGAAAAGGAAGGAAGGAACAGCATTCCTTGTCCATAAATGTCGATCACATATGTGTAGATGTGTTACCTTCCCCCGGGCACATGTTGAAATGGAATATTCTAACATTTTTCTGCTATATTATCACATACTTGTCACAGTGGTATAGCGAGTATCCTTGGTTTAAATGGAATATTCTCACATTTTTCTGCTGTATTATCACATACCTGTCACAGTGGTATAGCGAGTAGCCTTGGTTTAAATGCCGTGGATTACTCTATGTTGACACATCGATGTTACCATCCCAACACGAAATGTACTTCCGCGCTAGCCTCTACCAGGCATATGGAAGCGGCTGGGAAGGGTAGAAATTGGTCAAATAGAGAGACAACAAGTCAAGTCAAAGTTTATGGCACAACGATTGTAACGGGTGTAATGTATGTATATATATGGCAGATACTAAGATTAGTAGCTGGTATGGTACGAGGTATACATAGTGCCAGGGACGTTGGTCCGCTAGAGAGTATAGTTTGCCGCACCCGAGCGCGGACCAACTCCCTACGCATACTAGTATGTTATCTCTCTATTGCCAATTCTACTCTTTCCTGAAGCCTGGT